ATGGCTGCAAAATTCTCAACCCTACAAGAATACGATGAACGAACCCGATCAACAATTAAAAATAATGAAAATGAGAGCTTCCCCCTTAAAACTTATTTTCTCTCACTTAAAACCCATTCTCTTTATTTTTTTCAGACTTAAACCCCATTTACTAGAGTCCAACTAAGCAAATTTATTTAACAAGCTTGGTATGTCGGTTTTTATAATTCTTGTGCGTCTAAAATACCCTTATAGAGTGTAACATGAGTTAAGTTTGACTTATGATTAATAATAATTTTTTCATTTTATTGTTTTCAATGCAATTAAATGCCAATTAAACTATTATTTGATTAGGCTTTCTTTTCACAATTTTTTTTACCAACAATTGTTTTACTGTGAAACTAACTTACCTTATTAGCATGCAATATATAATATAAATAAAAATATTATGGTGTTTTACGTTGAAATATGGACAAATAATTTGTGTCAAAAAAATTATACAAAATAATGGTTGTATTTTTTTTCTTTTCATAGAAAATAATTTACCTATCTATATGTTAGTACCCACTTAGAATAGAAATACTGTAAAAATAATTTACCTACCCATAGGCGTGATATTGTAAAGAAAAAATGTATATGATTACTTTGGATATTATAAGTAAGTATATGACAGTATTATTTGTATAGGTAAATTAATAAGTAGATTTTTTTTTTTTTTTTTTTTTTTTTTTTTTTTTTTTGAGATTAGCTTGAAACAAAAGAATGTAGGTAAATTAGTAAACTTTTAAAATATAGGTAAATAGTTTGTATCAAAAGAATGTAGGTCAATTAGTTTACCTACAAAATTATATTATTTGATTCATTATTAATTTACCTACAAAATAACTATTTGTTCATTATAATTAAGGTGAATAATAACATTTATTGATTTGATTTGAATATTGTGGCACAAGTTGTAAATATTTTGTAATAATAGGTCAATTACTTTTCTACTTGGTAATCTTTTTCAAATTTGGGTTTTATTTGGATGTTTAAAATTAGGTGGGTTTTTATCTAGGGAATAAGAGTTGCAAGGGTCTATATCTAAAGAACCCTTAAAAATATTTACACTAGAGGATACAACAAAAGCTTACATTCTACTTAATGGAAGTGTAGAATAAACTCTGTTTTGGAATCCTTTATTTCGACGAGACACGCATTTTATAAAACTAGTTTCCACGATCCAACCGTCAAACATGCTAGCATATACATCAAGATCTCCTACGCAAAGAATCATCCAAAAAAACGTTTGGAGATAATGGACAAAATCATTCGACGGTTAGAAACAAAAAAATGATGATATAATGGTCGTTGTAACTCTGGTTTTGTTGATTTTTTTACAAATACAATCCTCAACCATAAAAGAATACGATGAACAAATACAATCAACAGTTTCAAATACATATGTACACTAGTGGATACAACAAAATCTTACATTCTACATAATGTAAGTATATAATAAACTCTATGTGTTTTAGCCGGTTCTTTTGATGAAACACACATTCTATGAAATTAGTTTCCACATCCAACCGTCAAACATGTTTACATATACTTTGGAATCTCCTACGCCAAGAATCACCCCAAAAAAACGTTCGGAGATTAGGTAACAGGACAAAATTATTCGACGGTTAGAAACGAATAATCACGATTTAGCAGTCCTTTTAACTCCAATTTTGTTGATTCTTTACAAATACAATCCTCAACACTTAATACAATGAACAAATCCGATCATCAATTTAAAATATGTATACTAGTGGACACAATAAAAGCTTTCATTCTACTTAATGGAAGTATAAAATAAACTCTAATGGTGCATTTGTTGCACCAAACTATTTCGGACTAGACTAACTTGAGGGACTAAACTGGACTAGCTTAGCATGAACTAAGTAGTATAAGAATAATAGAGCCTTTGATGCAATGTCGGACTAAGTCACAAATTAAATTAATTTTTAGATTCAAATATTTTTTAATTTTTTAATTCTCGCTCTCTCCCATCTCTCTTTTCCTTTTCTTTTTCTCTTCTTTTCCCATTTTTTTCCTCTTCTTTTCCTTTTCAAATGCTTTTGGTTTTTTCTCTTCCTTTTTTCTCTTCATTTTCAAATTCATCACTTCCTTTTCTTTCTTTTTTTTTTCTTTAATTTTTCTCTTCCTTATCAAATTCGGCAATCGGCACAAACCGTGACTCCTAACCAACACCACTTGTCGATCGACTCATGAAGTAAGGCGCAAAAGATTTGTGGAACGAAAAGGACAGGAAGAAGCTGATATTGACATCGAACAATCCCAGATCCAATTTTCAGACCTAATTTCACAAACAAAGCATAAGCAGTTCGCACAAAAGGTTGAAGAGAGCGAAAAGGAAGACGAAGGTCAGACGGGGTTAGCAAACGACACAGGTTAGATGATGCAGGTGTGCAAGCGATAGAACTCAGACGGGATTAGCAATCCCATACCTTTCGGGGGTCTCGGTAAGCAGACCTTGCGAAGCCTTTAGTAGGGGCGAGTTTGACTTAATCTCATTGAAGTTAGTCCGTATTTGCACCAAACACTGACTAAGTCTTAGCTAAGGTAATCCACTCCAGTGAGACTTAAGGAGTGCAAACAAACATGCCCTAAGTGTTTTGGAATCAATTCTTTTGAAGAAACACGCATTCTAAAAAACTAGTTTCTACAATTTAACCATCAAATATTTTTTCATATCTTCGAGATCTAAGCAACAAAAAAAAAAAAAAAAAAAAGAAAAGAAAAAAAAAACATAAAAAAAAGGAACCTTCGGAGATTAGGTAATAGAACAAAATCATCTGACCATTAGAAATGAAAAATTACGATTTATTGGTCATTTTAGCTCCAATTTGGTTAATTTTTTTACAAGGCCCCAAATTGAGAGTAAAATACACTAAATTAACCAAATGATCAAATTCGATGATTTTTTGAACCGTTTTAACTTAGTTAACAAAATAAGAGAAATAATTTTTGTGGAGCCAAAAATAATCAGGAAAAATATGGAGACGACACATGGATTTTAGAAAAATAAAAGGATAAAATTACCCTTGAAGCACACCAGAACTCCTACACGTAAGCAATGGACAATAACGACTCAATTAAGGTCAAAGGTGATCAAAATAGGCATTTATTCAAAACCTATTTCATCAATCCTCATCAAATCCTCCCCACAAGGTAACCCTTAAGTATTCTTTCAAATTAGGATTGATTACCAAAATTAATTGATTAATTTTGTAATTAATTTCCTAATTCATTGCAAGATAATATTTTGACATAATATCTTGCAATTATGGCCAAAAAACCACCACAAGTGGCCGGACCCCTTTTCTCCAAATAGGGCTAGCCACACCCTAATAAATAGCCCTTATTTCTCCAAAAAATCTAAGTCCTATTCTCTTCTAAAATTCTCCAAATTTCTCTAAACACTTTCTCTCTCAAATTCTAACTTTGGCATTCGAGGTTATTCGGCCAAAGCACCCCCCCCCCAATACATCGTGGGCGTGTGAGACTCTTGGCCTTGAACTTAGGTGTTAATTGTTTTGGAGGTGTAGTTTCGTCCAAGAAGAAGAAGTCAGAAATTTGCATCCACAAATTGGTACTTTCATTGGAGTCTTGATTCAAACAATCGAAAAAAGACTCTCTCATTCAAGGTTTTTCGTTTTCTTGTTCATTTGTAGATTTTTCACACATTCTTAGTCTTGGAATTTTTATTTATAAAAATTATTTGAAAAAAAAAAGTAAAAGAAAAGTACAATGACTAGACACTCAGAAACCACGACAAACGAAAATTCCAACTTTCAAGAATTAGGACCACGACGATCCATGAGGCTCAACGCGATGGTAAGTGAAGTAGTACCACCCCCACGGGGCACTACCGTGGTAGCCACCATAGCAACCACCAAGATAACCACCACCGTGGCAACCTTTGGCAAGTCCGTAGCCCATGGTTAACAAGCTAAGCGCACGACCCAAAATACGTAGGCCCAAGTTATGCCCAATCCAGCCCAGTGCCTTGTACCACTTCAAATCGCACGGGCCTAAGTCCCGTACCCACGTGCACCACATGCAATCCAGCCCACTCTAGTGCTGCATTCTCATGGTGTCCCAAGCAGTCAAGACCGGTTCAACTGTCCAGGCACCAAATTTCTAGGCCGACGATTGAACCAGGGGCATTTTCACCCTATTTCTCTGTGGATTTGACATTTCCTAACCCAAATCTCGCACCCAAAGTCTACCACACTTCCACTACTCAAGGAGATGCATTCTGTCTAAGCTCTTTTAATCCAAATGGGGAACAATAGTTGTCTCGACAAGTCATAGAGTTGACGAGCGCCACGAACCAAATGTTCTGGCAGTGTACTCTCCCGACTGGGCCCTCGAAACGTATACTCTCGTCTTAGCGAGCTGAGGAGTGTGCACTCTCGATTAGGCTTGCGGGCGAGCGTACACTCATGGTTGGGACCACACTCCAATGATCAACATGAGCAACCTTCCAGGCGAAGTGTTCATTCGCAGCTCGACTCGCAAGGAGCATTCTCCACCTCACATCAGAGTAGGTAGCACGACAGGCAGAGAGAAGCAGTCACTTTATCTGGATTAAGTTCAACCGACAACATGTGAAGAATTCCCTCGCCTGCTAGGAACAAACCACATGCACCGTTGCAGCATCGCCAAGGAAAGAATGAAGAAGAGTAGCCTAGACTAGCAGGTTAAGATCGGGGGCAGCCGAGAGCTCCGTTACCCAACAAAGGAAAATTAAGGAAGAAGTGAAGAGGCTTTTAAACAAGTAATTGCGTAACTTCTAACGAAATAATGTCACCGATAAGGCACTATGATGAGATATGACCAACATGAGCAGGTCACATTTCACAGACAAGATCAAGTAGGCAGACCCTCTACTGAAGTTTGGCATACCACATTTCACATCTTTCAAAAGAGATGGAGACCCGAAAAGGCATTTGAAGCACTACCGAAGCTCGATGGTCCTTTATCAGAACAACGATGCTTTTATGTGCAAGATATTCGCCACCACTTTACAAGGTGAGGTGCAAGATTGGTTCCACACCTTACCACCACAATCCATCCGAAGTTTTGATGATCTTTCCTTGGTTTTCACCAAAGAATACTCATCCTACCACTCAATCAAGCAAAAGTCCGATCACTTGTTCAATGTGAAAAAAAATCCACAAGAGTCGCTTCGCGATTACGTGAAGAGGTTCAAAGCAGAGAAGGCGAAGATAGTCGAATGCGACAACTCGATACCAAATGCAGCCTTCCAAAAATGACTCTCAACAGATTATCCACTGTTTGGAGAGTTGATCATGAAATAAGACCTAACCCTAGCAGACTCGTTAGCTCTGGTAGATAAGCATGCACTTTGGGACAAGGCTTGATGAGCAGACAAGGCGCCCAAACAGCCACCGAAAGAGTCGGTAGTGGCAAAAAAGAAGAAGGACGAGAAGCAGTACAACAAAAATAAGTAGGGGGCCAAACGTAGGGATAGTCCCACGACTAAATAAGGCTTAGCATCGAAGAACTACTCTAAGTTCTCGATCCCGATTCACCAAATCCTCCATGAAATAAAAAAAAAAAAAAAAAAACAAACCATGGTTCAAGCATGCCGAAATAATCAAATGAAGATACTTCCAAGTTGGACCACACCAAGTACTGCGTATTCCACCGAGATCCCCGATCACATAACTAATGATTGCTACAATTGGAAGAGCTACCTAAAGAAGCTCGTGAAAGAAGGCAAGGTGGATAGGTACTTGGACAAGCCGGCTGCGCAGCCTAAAAGGAACGTAGATGTCAACGAAGAACCACCCAATAAGACGATTCAGATTAACAATATCTTCACCGAATCGGAGCACTTAAAGGCCACAAACAATTCAAAGAAAAGGAAGATCTAGCAGGCTCTACTAGTCTCGCAAGTCTAAGTAGTGGATACCTAACCTAGACCCATCATTGGCATCACCGAGCAGAATGCTGAAGACGACAACTTCCCACATGACGATGCATTGGTGGTATTGGTCCAACTAGCCCATGTCATAGTTGACAGAATAATGGTTGACAATGGAAGTGCAGTCAACTTATATCAACTCTTGGTAATTCAAAAGATGGGCTTGGAAATCATGATCATATGTCGAGCAGAGGTATTTCCCAGATTCAACGGACACACCTCGATTACCATCAGCGACATCACATTTGACGTGAAAACACCGCTAGTTGTCCCAAAACAGACGTTTACAATAGTAAGCGACTCATCTCCTTACAATAAGATTCTAGTGAGACCTTGGCTAATAAAGCTGGACTCTGTCACTTCCGTCAAGTATCAAAAAATCTAATTCTGCAGCCTAAGAGGAGGAGTCAGAGAAATCAAGTCTGACCAGGCTGCATCTTGACGATGCATTGTACAAGTACTTAGGGAAAATCATGACGTCTTTGCGTGGTCACCTTCTGACATGCCCAGCATCGAACCTAAGATAGCTTGCCACAAGCTGCACATCAGCGAGTAGCGATCATTGAAGCAGAGATTGACAAGCTACTAGAGGCCGGATTCATAAAAGAGGTAGCATACTCAGCATAGCTTGCTAACGCCGTGCTAGTGAAGAAGAAATAGAAGGTTAAATAAAGGGTTTGCGTAGACTACACCAACCTCAACAAAGCATGCCCAAATGATCTTTATCCACTTCCCCGAATCGATTTATTAGTAGATTCAACTTCTGGGAACCAGATGCTCAATTTCTTGGACGCATACTCTGGATACAACCAAATAGCCATGTACAAGCCCGACAAGGAGAAACCCGCGTTCGTGATCGAGCAAGGCACCTACTGCTACAAGGTCATGCCATTTGGCCTTAAGAACGCAGAAGTCACTTACCAAAGGTTGGTAAACATGATGTTCAAGAGGTAAATTAAAGTAACCATGAAGGGCTATGTCGACGACATCATGGTGAAGGGTAAGCAGCGATTAGACCACATCGGCAAAACATCCTTAAAAGATAGAAGATGAAGCTCAATCCCACCAAATGCATATACAGAGTATCTTTAGGAAGATTCTTAGGGTACCTAGTAACTCAACGAGGAATCAAATCACATCCCAAGCAAATCCGAATGATACTAGAGATGAAATCTCTAACTACCTTGAAGGAGATCCAAAGCTTGATTGGATGAGCAACCACCCTCAATCGCTTTCTCTCGCGGTCCACCCATCGATGCAAGCCCTTTTTCAAGGCCATTAAGAGGGCACAACGAGACAAATTGGATGATGAGTACGAAAGAGCTTTCTAAGACCTAAAGAAGTATTTCACATCACCTCCCTTATTATCCAAGCCAGAAGTAACGAAGGACTTATACATTTACTTAGCAGTCTCTAAAGTAGCAGTGAGCTCTGCCCTCATATGAGAAGAACTAAGGGCCCAACTACTGATATTCTACACTTCTAAAGCTCTTATCAATGTGGAAACTAGATGCCCAAAGATTGAAAAATTAATTTTCAAGCTCACAGGGTCATCATCGTGACTCAGTATCCTCTACAATCAATCTTACATGGTTTGGATGCTTCTCAACAAGTGATGAACTGGGCGTTGAAACTTGGCCAATACGGTTTAAGTTTCCAACCTCGCATGGCAATAAAGGCCTAAGCCTTGGCAGACTTTATAGCAGAATTCAAGCCTAGCCTAGGTGACGTAATAGAGCGGCTTAACAACGCCCTGGAGGTAGCCGAGCATGCCTTAGTTGCGCCTGTTCCACCCGGTGGAGACTTCTGGCTTTTCCAACTACAATGGCTCAAGAGCATGCGTGGTCTTTATCACCCCAGACGGTTCGATGCTCGAGTAGGCGATCATTCTAAGCTTCAAAGTATCCAACAACAAAGTGGAGTACGAGGCTCTACTAGCAGGCCACCAAATGGCAAAAGACTTAGGGGTGAAAAAGCTCATGATTCATTCCGCTTCCTAGCTAACCACCAGCCAAACTATTGGGTAGTACATGGCAAACTATCCAAGGATGGTGTAATACCTAAATAAGGTATGTAAGCAACTTAAGGCATTTCAGAGTTACACCCTCACTCAAGTTTCGCGTGCAAACAATGCCCACTAGTTGGACTAGGCTCCACCCTCGACCACCAACTCAAAAGCTCTATTCCGGTGGAGTATCTAGACAAGCCATGCATAGAGGCGGAGCCAACTGCCGAGGTGTCACAGGTTAGTACAACTCCAAACTGGCAAAGTTCCATTATAGATTACCTAGTCAATGGCACACTACCCACGGAAAGATTAGAGTCTAGAAAACTCCAAATAAAGGTGGCTCGCCACTATATGTGGAACGACATTCTCGTCCGAAGATCTTACAACGGATCACATCTCCACTGCCTAACGCCTCCCAACAACGTAATGGTTTTTAGCTCAATCCATGAAGGTGTTTGTGGAAATCACTCCGGAGACCAATCCTTAGCACATAAGACACTTAACGCGGGTTACTACTAGCCTACCATGCACCAAAATGCTAAGGAATTGGTACAAAAGTGCAACCACTGCCAACGCTACAAGAAAATACCAGCACTACTTGCCAACGAACTACACCCATAGACGAGTCATTGGCAGTTCATGCAGTGGGTAATCGACTTGGTAGGGCCAATGCCGCTCGTTAGTAGCGGCAGAGGCATGATGATCATGGCAATTGATTACTTCACCAAATGGATAGAAGCAGAGCCTGTGACAACCATGACTCAGACGGACATATAGCACTTTATATGGAGGACCATCATTTACCGATTCGACATCCTTTAATCCATCATCACAGATAATGGCCTGCAATTCAGTAGGCAAAGATTTGGCGAAGTTCTTCCAAAAATATGGCATCAAGCAGCACATGTCCACGCCAAGGTCCCCTCAAGGAAATGGGTAAACTGAGGCATCCAACAAGATGATTCTCAACTGCCTCAAGAAGTCCCTTTCTAACAAGAAGGGAAAATGGCCAGACGGACTCCCCGGTTGTCTATGAGAGTATCGCACCACCAAACGACGAGTAACCAGTGTGACTCATTTCCCTTCGGCATTTGGTTCAAAAGCAATCATTCCTCCCAATGTCATCGTGTCAAGTATCAACACTCTACTGCCAAACATCAAGCAAAATGGAAAGTAGATGGCCACAAATCTAGATCTGGCAGAGGAGAAGCACGAGAAGGTCATCACCCGTATTGCAGCCGACCAGCAGCAACTCATCTCGAGCTATAACAAAAGGGCTAAGATTCTGCAGTTCCAGCTCGGAGACCTAATTTTGAAGAAAGCCTTCATCACTGCCCGAAGAGAAGGTTCCAAAAAGATGGATCCCATCTGGGAAGGTCCGTACAAGATCAGCAAAGTAGGCAACAAGGGTAACTACACCCTCACAACCATGAACGACAAAGAGATCGAGAAGTAGTGGAACACCTACAATCTGAGGAAGTACTATGCGTGACCTCCTGCTACATCAAAGCTTGAAGACTTAAGCAGCTTAATGAGCACCACTTCGTAAGCTAAGGACTATCAGGTTGTTATGCAATTTCTACTGTACAGCTAAGTTTTCGTTTGTTTCACTCGTTTTTCAATAAGGAATTCAGAAATAATTTACAACTTGGCTCAGCTGCATGCTTACAACAACTGATCACTACTTAACTTCAAAACAAGATCATGGCCTTCTTGGGACTCATCGCAGTGATTGAACCCCCTGAGGGACCAACCTTGCTCTCCATTGCGATAGGGTAAACCAATTCCCCAACACCACATGGGTTTGCTTTCCTAAGCGGGAGGATAAACTCTACACTTTGAATAACCAGACATGGATGAGCTGGCTGCCTTACTATAAGTAGATATAGGATGGCTTGCACTGGGATTCCTAGAAGTAGCCACAATGGTCTTTTTCAAGGCTTAGCTAACTGAAGAATTTAGGGTCTTTTGGCCTAATTTAAGGGGAACCAGGCCCCAAAGATGAAAAAGGCACATGACGTAGTACGCCCTATGGATGATTGCCCTAGAACCCTAAAACTGCTACCGAGTGCACTAACGTAGCCTACAGTTTCTAGAAGACTACCTTCGACTTGCCCTTTGAGTAGTAAATCGCGTTAAACTTATACAATCACACGTTTCTATGAAAGGTTAAACAAGTTAGTGCACATATACAAAGCTTCGTCCATTACCGACATGATACACAGTTAATGGGCTTCATTTCTGCCAAAGCGCGGAACAACCTACGCTAAGTCCTAAAGTGTTATGATACTTGCTACACAACCTACAAAATTGGAGAA